GTTTTTGGTACAGGCATGACTTGCGTGTGTGAGTGTGCGCGCTTTGGGTGTGTTGCCTGGCAGCACAAAAGCAAGGCCGCTGGCACGAAACAAAAAGGTTATTTTGGTGTCTGCTCGGAGTGAGGACAGAAAAGACAACCCGGTGAGAGAGTACATCGTGAATTAATTTGGAACATTTTTTTTTCATTTGAATTTGAAATGTCAGTACAGTGATACCTCGACTTAGGAAATCGATTGGTTACGGAAGAAATTTCTGAACTAGAAAATGTTGTAAGTAGAGACACGTTTTCCATGTAAATGCCCTAATCCGTTCCCAGCCCCCCTAAAATTCAGACAGAAATGTTTTCGAAAGCATAAAAATTAATCAAAATATGTAACAAATACATGTTTACAATTAGATTATTGCACAATAAATGAGAGTTGCGCATAATGTAAAAAACAAAGAATAAAGAATAAAAATTATGGTCTTTTAACTTAAATTTCGTATGAAGAGATGTTCGTAAGTAGAGGTACCGCTGTATGATTTATTTTTTATTTTTATTTTTTAAAAAGGGCCGACGGTAAGATCTGTGAGCTAACCCAACACCGGCTCATCATGGTAAAAAATGTCTCCGTTCAGTTTTGGAATCGCACTAATCCTTGGTTTTCCTTCCTCGCCCTCAGATGTGCACACCAGCCAACACACCAGCGACACCCCCAAACTTCCCGGACGCCCTGACCATGTTCTCCCGGCTCAAGGCGTCCGAGAGCTTCAACAGCGGCAGCCCCATGGCGGCGTCGGCGGCCACCTCGCCCCCGCAAGTCGGCGGCTGGGGGGTATCACCCAATGTGCCCAACGCGCCGCCGCCCTCGCAGGGACTCTGGACTCAAGGGCAGCCTCCCACACAGCCCTGCCCCGCCTGGCCAACGGGCGTCAACCCCCACGCGAGCGCCGAGCAAAAGGCGAGCGTAGCAATGGAGGCAGAGAGATGAATCGCCACGCCCCACCCCCCTCCCCCCGACCCCTGCCCGCTAAAGCTACCGCGCGGAGAGGCGGGGGGATTTTTTCCCACCCCACCCCCTCCAAAACAACAAAAAAAATGTGGCAAGACGGACGGACGCACGTGGAAAGATGCAAACCAAGAAAAAACTTTGGGAGAACAATTTCAAGAAGAGGAGAAAACCAATGCAAATACGAAAGTAGAAAAAAAAGAAAAAAAAACAAGATACGCACACGTATAGTAATAAGAGAGTATGTGAAATCTTTTAGTTTTTCTTACTTAAAATGACAAGAGAAATATCGGAACCTGGAAAAATGAAAATCAATCGTCGTGCCCAAGGATTCTGTCATGTTCAAGGACATTCAAGGCAGCAAATTTTGTAATTTTTTTTTTTCAGAACCTTCTTCCTCAACACTTTTTGTTTGCGTTATCTCCCCCTTTGCCCCCCCCCCACCTCCCAACTCCCCCTTCCCTTAGTCTTGTGTTTCTGCAACTGTCTGTGCTGCATGACGAGAGAGGAAACTTGCGATGCAGTGTTTAAAAGTGACTGAAGCGCGCGCGAGCGCGTTGCGTTTTCGTTCCAGAGTTCAGCTCTGGTCGGGGACGCGTACGCAGAAATCTATATAAATGTATGTAAACACACACACACACACGAATACACATGCGTTCAAGGAAACACCTCCATATTGTCATCGCCATTGTCAAGGCGGGGCCCTCTTACCTCACCTGGTGGTCACCTGACTTTTTTTAGCCAATCAGGGATTCTTCTTCTTAAACCAACTGTTTGCCCTGATGACACAGGACATGTTTGTAACAATTTCGGGGCATTTTTTTTCTTTTTTTTCCTCCCCCTTAAATGCAGAAGCCCCTTTTTTTGGTTCATGCTCGTTTATCCGCAAACCCAACGGCTTATTTTTTTTTTTTTCAACTGAAGCCTACAACTGTATACTTTTGAAGATTGAGTTGTACACAGAGATAAAAAAAAAAAAAAAAAAACAACCAAACATCACGAGTGGTTAAATATAATATTGTTTGTAACGATGATAGTTTTATGATCTGCGAGGCAGTTCTGCGAAAGTAGCTAAACTGGCTCGAGAAGGGGGAGGGGGGGGCAGGGGGGGTGTGACTACTCCATATTATTTTTTTTTTTTGTGACTCTTTGTAAACATTTCGCATCACTTGTCAGTAATAACATCTTTAATAGCAAAATGACGTGGGCTTGCCAAAGCTAATAATGACCACTAATTTAAGTCGGATCATCTCAGTTCAAGGAAAAACATCCGGTTGGTTGATATGAAGACATATTTGGGCCACACGGAGAAAAAAAAGGTTCCAGAGGAGAAAAATCGTAGGATTCTGAAAAAGGTTAGATTAAGGCATGGTCTTGAAAAAGATTGTTGTGATATTCAAAGACAATTTTTATAGAACAATTAAAGAGTCCCGAAAACTGACACAAACTTTTTCGAAAGAAGACAACTATTCTTGGAACGTGACTATTTTCTTATTCGTGCGAGTCTGCATTTTTTTTTCGAAAGACATTTTTCTCAAAATACAACATTCAATCTTGCGCCACGTTATGAACGGTTCTCGCCCCCCCCCCCCAAAAATGGCTGTTCTCTTTCAAGACTCTCATAATACAAAAAGAATATGGTCGAATGGTGATTACATTTTCTTAATTTTCTTCCCGTTGTTTGGGGGGGGGGGGGGGGGGGGGGGGGGGGGTGGATGGGTTTGCGCAAGGGGCAGCTCAGGGGTGACCCTGATTTATGGCAATATATTACATGCAGGGTCCGGGGCCCTGGTTTTGTTATTTTTAGGTTTTTTTTTAAGATAAACAATATTTTATCTATCTGGCAGATTTTTTTTTAAAGTTCAAGATTCGGGCAATGATGGATCTCATGAAAAAAATATTCTACTATTCCTTGGTATTATTTTTGATCAAAGTGGCTCTTCGGTTCATCTTGGCCATGCTTCATAACTTTTATTTAGTTGAAATCTCGAGTGTTTTTCTGGGTTGGCCTGTTCAGAAATGGTTTCTCATGTACGTCCACTTCCCCCACTTTGTATGACTGTATGAGACCATTCCCACAATATTTGTGGACTACCTGATAATTAACTTATCATTTTTGTGAACCTAAATAAATATTGTTTGTCAACCTATTAAAAAAAAAAACGTTGCTTTTAATGTCCCCCCCTCCCAGAAAAAAAGCTGTGAAGCAAGTATGTCTCCTTGAATCGTCGGCTCCTCAAGATGTAAACACAAAACACCAGCTGCCCACAAGTATCCAACACATTAGCACAAGCACACTAAATCCATCCCTCCATGTCCTAAACGGACTTTCACACCACTTCCCCATCTATGGAAATTTGATGATGCGAGCGTGAGCCGATTTGTCAATGTTGTTAGTTGCTGTGGATTCAAAGTCTGTATGTCGACAACGGCAACACAAACAAGGAAGACGAATGGATAGACGGTTTCCCCCCCCCCCCCCCAAAAATGGCTGTTCTCTTTCAAGACTCTCATAATACAAAAAGAATATGGTCGAATGGTGATTACATTTTCTTAATTTTCTTCCCGTTGTTCTCATCATTTTACAACGTATTTTCTTTTTTTTTTTGTGTGGCCCTAATGCTCATTTGGAATTCCAGACTCCAAAAAGACAAGATGCGAATCTTACAACATGGACATGTGGAATCAGTTGCCGGCCCTCCGATGACCTATCAAAGTGGCTCTTCGGTTCATCTTGGCCATGCTTCATAACTTTTATTTAGTTGAAATCTCGAGTGTTTTTCTGGGTTGGCCTGTTCAGAAATGGTTTCTCATGTACGTCCACTTCCCCCACTTTGTATGACTGTATGAGACCATTCCCACAATATTTGTGGACTACCTGATAATTAACTTATCATTTTTGTGAACCTAAATAAATATTGTTTGTCAACCTATTAAAAAAAAAAACGTTGCTTTTAATGTCCCCCCCTCCCAGAAAAAAAGCTGTGAAGCAAGTATGTCTCCTTGAATCGTCGGCTCCTCAAGATGTAAACACAAAACACCAGCTGCCCACAAGTATCCAACACATTAGCACAAGCACACTAAATCCAATCCTCCATGTCCTAAACTGACTTTCACACCACTTCCCCATCTATGGAAATTTGATGATGAGAGCGTGAGCCGATTTGTCAATGTTGTTAGTTGCTGTGGATTCAAAGTCTGTATGTCGACAACGGCAACACAAACAAGGAAGACGAATGGATATCAAGTGAGTACAGTGGTACCTCTACTCATGAAATTAATTGGTTCTGCAAGAAATTTCTTAATGAGAACATTTTGGAAGTAGAGACGCGTTTTCTATGTAAATGCCCTAATCCGTTCCAAGCCCCCGAAAATTCAGACAAATGTTTGATCAAGCATAAAAATTGACGAATTGGCGAATGACGAGGACGCTGCACAAACACATATCTATCTATCTCCACGCATAGACACATTGGGAAGAGGTCCCTCTTCGCCAATGAGATGCCAGGACGATGCTCGGTAATAGCCAATGGCGGAGCAGCTATGAGTATGTTGCGTTCAGGAACCTCGGAGTTGCAAGTAGTCTATGAGTATGTTGCGTTCAGGAACCTCGGAGTTGCGAGTAGCAGCCCATAATGTATTTTTACCTTTTGTATCTTGAAATTTCTTTCGTAACAAGAGGCAGTATTTTCCCGTTGAGTTTCATAGCTTGAACATTTCGTACGAAGAGGCTGTCGTTGAAGGCTGTGAAAAGCCTCCTGAGGTCAAACTGTTCGCAAACAATGCCTCAGAATGATGAATATATATATATATATACACACGCAGACTTTATATAAAATATGTTCATTTTGAATTGAACAAGGTCTACATGATAAATCAATTTTCAAAATAATTCAGGATTCATTTGATGATTGATGATTTGTAGAATGAATCCATTATTCGTTCCACCGCGACAAAACGTTTTCCTCGTGCAGACGCGATTCTCAGTAGTTGGAAAAATTGGAACTCACCAAGCTAGTAGAACGGGGGCGGCGGGGGCGACGTTGGCTCCTCGTCAATTTCGATTGCACACACGTGACCCTTCCCTTACTATTGACTTCTGAGGCTGAGCTGAGGAGCAGAAGATTTATTGTGACAATATTTTTTTTTTGGGCCACATGATCATCAGTTCGCAAAACATCTGGCAAACACTGAAAAATAAGATCAGAATTTACACATGAAGTAAACGCCATCATTATTTTTACCAACCAAGGCCCTCTAACAGAACTCAACCTCCCAAATTTTAGCAACATAAAAAAAAATAAAATAAAACGCTTTAAATTATGACAGACATAACGGAGCATTCTGTTGTGTGTTGCAAAGGGGCAAGTGTCCTGTAATATTTCACAATTTTAATAAACATCACAAATCATGATGCTGCCTGTCTGGTTTATGGCTGCCAAAAATGACTGCAATAGTCCCAATGCTACTGCACTTTCTCACCGCTCGTGTGTGTGTGTGTGTGTGTGTGTGTGTTTGCTGAGGCTGGTGCTAATGCATGCAGTCAGGCAGCACTGATACAACAGCGAGAGCAGAAAGAAAAGCCGGCTTTGTGTTCCACTCAGGATCTCGGACACGAGAGTGGCTGGAATGGCACACAGCCCATTGTTGCAGGTTAATTGCGGTCACACACACACACACAACACACGCACACACACACGCACAGAGCCCACTGAGGAAGTGACATTCCCATTTCCTGTTAAGCAGCTGAATGGTAGGAGTAAAATGATGTACTGTCACATGATTCCAACTCATCCAAATCGGTCCGGTCCCAAAAAAACAAAACGAGCAGCACCCAAAACAATCCGTTGAGCTAACCGCTGTGAGCGTTTTCAATGTGATTTAAGCCAAGGAGGGACAGCTAGCCTGTAAACTGTAGATTAGCGTGCATGTTGCCATAGCGGCGGTTTTATCGGAAACTGGTTCATGTCACGCTTTTAAAGAAGAGCCACTGTTCGGCCTTTTGGAGGTACAAAAGACGTTTTCACTTGAAAGGCGCTGCAGAAAATTATGTGGACCATTAACTGTCTTGAATGGGGTTTTTTTTTGGGCTGGTATGTATATATGTATATTCTTTCATACATACAGGGAGGAAAAATGCCGCATGTAGTATTATCCTGACTGTGAAAGGATAAAAGGCTTTTGTGGCGGGCGGAGTTATTTTTATATTGTTATTTTTCCGGTGGTAGGCGGCCAAAATAGCCAAAAGAATGTTCAATATGGTTGCATGCAAGACCCTTTGGCTGGATTGAAAGTGGGGAAAATTTGGTTTCAAAAAAAATCTCTCTACAAAAAAGTAGTTAATTCGTATCAGTGCAACATCGAAATGTGTTTTATTTTTTGCAGCATACATACTAATATGCACAATTGGTGATCAAACACAAAACGCCGTAGCCACTCAGCTGCAGTCATGGGCGGTTTTTGTCGAGGATAAAGAACGTATGCATGTGAGTACTGTCGTATCTGAATGTGTTGCAACTGTGGTCAAATAGATGTTGCGTAAAGGTTGCATGAAATTTGGATTTGTTGGGCCTAAATTTTGAGCTGGAAAAAACAAACAAACAAAAAAAAAGTGACATTTATGGGGCATGAAATTTGGATTTGTTGGGCCTAAATTTTGAGTTGGAAAAAACAAACATTGTGACATTTATGGCAACAAGCTTTGAACATCAAAGCAAGTTGTTTGCTCCAAAACAATTTGCTTCATTTGAAGTTGGGGTTCAGTACACGAACAAAAAAAAAATCTGTCAGCTGTTATTTCTTTTTTTTAATCACTGTACCGGGATATGAATGCTATACTAGCAATATGCAATGCTGTATTAGCTCGCCTATGGCATTTCCAATTATGTGTTGAACTAGCAGACTTTTGAGTGTGTGTGTCATATTTTTTTTATGTACAATGTGTATTTCCTTCTTTTTTTTCATAGTTTTTAGCTATGAAGCAAGCACTTGGGCCTGTTTTTGTTTGTTTGGGTTTTTTTTTTTTTTTTGAAGAATTGTTCATTATCTGCTGCTTGTTGTTAAGATTGCTGCCCAAAAAAAATCTGCCGATGGCTCATACACTGAAAATACCGAAATCAGATCACTCCGAATTCAAGGCAGGACTGTACTAAATACCATCACCCAGTCGGCTCGGAATTGTTTGTGTCCCCGATAAAAAATGGCTTCCCTTCAATGGGCAGTAAGAGAAACGCGGCCAACTCGGCCTATCCAAAGTAACTCCACCTCCCCTCCTGACAAGGGGGAGATCGGAATGCGTCAAATGAGGTTTTCCAAAAGCGTCCGATAAAAAGACATTTTACAGGTGAACGAGCAGCTTGTTACACTGCAGGCTATCGCCGCCACAAACATTCTCACACGCTCTCAGTCCGTGACGGCAGCTGTTCTTTTCGATCCGAGTGGAACAAGTGGCCCATTTCCAAAATATGACTTCTTGGATATGTGACTCAGTGTGTGCACTTATAGCGAGTCTGCTTTGCATCAAACACATTTTTCTGCACTGATGTCTCCCCCCTTCCCTGTGAGGCAGATCGACGCCCGCAGCCACGATGAAACATTCATGATTCCCGCAGGGGGGGGGGGGACTTTGGCGATTTGAGAGCGAGCGGAGACACTGCGTATTGGTTGTACACGACATGAAATGAACACTTATCATGAAATAGACCATTAGTGTACATCCATATTGTACAGCCACCCATATCGTATATAAACAGTGACGGGGTAAATTAATTCAGTGTCTCCGCCGGTGTATAATACAACTTTGTCATGATTGGACCCACCGTGCAGTAGCTTGTTTGTTTATTGCCTTGTCGTGGCCTGTAAATTTAATTGCCACTGACCCATATTACATGAAGTTACATTTTCAGTCCTCTACCAGTTACATCATCATTTCCTAAGATTGGCTTTACATTGTAGGTCCAAGTGGCCAATTCCGATTTAATTGCAGATTTCCGCAACGACCGGATTTTCCACAATGACAGCTAATGTCTTGATATTTGATGTCCGTTAAAAAAAGAAGAACTCGAGTGTGCCACGCGGACAGATGTGCGAGCGTGACTTGTGGTGCAGCGAAGATAACGTGCGCGTGTGAGCCGAATGTGATGGCACATGCGGTCTTTCATAGTGCTGATCCCGCATGCTGGCACGGTGCCTGATATCCTCTCGCTTGTCCTGTTTTCACCGCCCCCCCCTCCACCCGCAACTCTTGAGTGGCGCAATGATCGCAGCTGTCCATCTATCCAAAAAAAAAAAAAAAAGACAAGAGTTTCCGTTTGATGACATCATTGCTTCCTCTAGCGTGCTCGTGATGGCGGATCAGATTCCTTTTTCTCGTTCCTCCCAAAGTCGAGCTACTGCACAGGAAGTGGCCGCAACACTATCCTATCAAACACACCGGGCATCTACGTTGACCCCCATTTTCAATCAATGACATCACTAACTAGATGTGAAGTGTAAAAGCAGCTTCCCGGCATGATGTCACGATTTGCGACTAGGACACACAGTAAAACCCACTAAGCCAGGTGATGACGCAACGGCAGGTCTGAGCCACAACCGAATGGCGTCACTATGGAGGGCAAATAATCCTCGGCTACTCTTCTACTGTACGCTCGGCTAATCACAGATTGACCTACATCGACCGCATTCACGATAGCATGACGCTCAAAGAGCCGCTTCCTTTCCTAGGCCTTTAGATGGACGTTATGTAACAGCGTCTCGGTGGCTTCGACCGGCCTCCGAAATGAGCAAACTGCTAATTATCTGTCTGCTTATCTGTTGCCACGGCTCTGCGTCATTTCAAGTTGATTGCCCCACTCTAAACGTTTACCTTGATGATCGACTGCATTTGATTTCATTTCGACGTCCATTTGCGAAAGGCAAATGTACACACAACGTACTCCAATGAACTACAACGGAGCAATTTAATGACATTCACTACAATAGCTGTATCAAAAAGATCACTTTCGACTGACACTTGATTGGCTCAGCTTGTGAATGCCACATGACCCCCCCCCCCCAAAAAAAATAAAAAATGCGTGAGCCATTATTGATTGTGACCAAAGCTTGAACAACTGGGACGTCGTTTTCATTGGACAGCAAGGGGCAAAATGGCTACCCTGCGAGATGGATTTAAAAAAAATGGGTGGATTTCACTGCTTAATTCATATTCCACAAATACAAAATTAATCATAATCCATTTTCCGATTGGCTTATCCTCACAAGGGTCGCGGCGGGTGCTGGAGCCTATCCCAGCTGTGTTCGGGCAGTAGGCGGGGGACACCCTGAACCGGTTGCCAGCCAGTCGCAGGGCACACAGAGACGAACAACCATCCGCGCTCACGCCTAGGGACAATTTGGAGTGTTCAATCAGCCTGCCATGCTTGTATTTGGAATGTGGGAGGAAACTGGAGTACCCGGAGAAAACCCACGAAGGCCCGGGGAAAACATGCAAACTCCACACAGGAAGGCCATCGAACCCTGCACCTCTGCACTGAGAGGCGGAGGTGCAAAACACCCCCCACCCCCACCCGCGCCACAATTCGAATTTAAAAAAAAAATCAAGCACAGTTTGGTCATCTGAGACAAACTCCAAGTGGAGTTTGTGAAGGACAAGAGTCATCAGAAAACTGCATCACCTGCCCAAAAAGTTGCCTTCACTCTAATGGATGCCGTGGCATAAATAAGCCACCCACTTTGATTAAATCAACACCTCACCAAATTAATGCCTTCTTTTTTTTTTTTCCTGGTGTTAAAAGAGGCCAATTCTAAAATCACCGTTTCCTTGCAATGACCTTTATTGTGGTCACATTTCCACCAAGTGGTACAGGAGCTGCAATGCAGCCTAATTCGGTTAACCTTTCCACCGTGGGTGGCTCCCTGTGACATCATAGCAGTCGGAAGCAATAATAAAGGAACACATTCTGGCTAAGCTCGTGACAATATCCAATTCCTGTTGGAACAAATGTCAAGATCTATTCTGATGAAAAGCCATTTTTTTCCAAGACAATAAATCCATTTTCATTATTCTGATTTTTTTTTTTAAACTGTATTTCCTCCACAGTTAAAATAATTCATTGGCTCAGTCCAAACCAAGGATATTAATGTTCGCAAAAAAATAACCATAACTAAAATTGATAAAAACATATTCGCGACAAAAATAAAATCGAAAATGTTCTCTAAAAAAAATTTAACTGAAGCGACATATTACGTTTATAAATAATTCATTTTTGTTTTTGTCAACATACGTGAGCTTTGAGTTTATTTTGAATGAATTTTTCACGGTATTGTATTTCGGTAAGTCGTGCAGAAAAATTGTAGTTGACACCACCCAAAACCCGGAGACCTTTTTTCCTACCCCCCTCACTTGCACTTGACAAACACCCAATTTATTTAAAAAAAAAAAAAATAATACTAAAACTAAGAATAAACTAAAACGACGCATTTAAAAAAAAAAACATTAAAAACGTATACAATGAATTAAAACCAACTGAATTAAAAAAAATCCAAACAAAATTAAAAATTATAATTAAAAATCCAAAACTGATATAACTATGGACCCGACAGTTGTAATAACATTTAAAAGTCTGTAAACAGTGCAGTTTTTTTGACATTTGGCTTTTATCTCATTTTAGGAAAAGATGTTCTCGGTCTCCTCTTACAAGTCCAGCTCTTTTCCAAAATGTCAATCCTTTTGATCATCTTAAAAGATGACATTTTACCCACACCCGCAAATTCTACAAACATTACTTTGATAATTTCAAAACGGATCATCTCCATCCCAACGCGTTCAATCCAATTTACAGCCTGCGCACAATGAATGGCGTGACAAAGACAATGTTTACATTTGGCTTTTATCTCGTTTCTTCAGAGTATTCTGATATCTTGATTACAATTTCAGATTCATCCCCTTGTATTTGCATGCTCATTCGATTGCGGAAATGTACTTATGACTCACGTTTCTTTGGTTGCGGTGCATTGGGAAATGTTAACTTTTAGGGAACGCAAGCTGAGAGGGAACATTTGCTGCTGAATAGTCAAAAGTCATTAGGCGCGTTAGACGGGCTGTTTCGAGCCCCCCCCCCCCCCCCCCCGTGATCTAACACCACCATTTTCCCTGTGTGACTAATACCCCGACAGGTGGCACACACGCATGTTTTATTGTTATTTGATCTCAGCACATATCTCACACCTAAGTGAGAAACTGGGTCGAACTGCAAAAGCAAACTGCATGGGGGAAAACGGTTGAGAATGTATTCCAATCCCATTTTCTGCACCACTTTTAGGGAGCTGGAACCAGTCCATCGCTAACAACCATTCGCACTCATATTGACACGGTCAGTTGGAATCCAAAAGCAGCAAAAGCATGAAACTCATGGCGAGTGAACCATGATAGTATCAGTGACTGGAAACTAAATTGAGGTTAATACATACATGCAAGGACAAATAGATGATGGATGGATTGATTTGGTTCCACTGCAGGATTGGTGATGTCATCCATGTAAGGTGAGGACAGCTGAGGCCTCATCTGCGGCTTTTTTCGTGCGCCATGATGACATCTAGTGGTCACAAAACACACACGTTAGCTTTTTCATCTGGGGAGTGGAGAAATATGTGCAATTTCAAACTAAAGCAGGAAGATTCCTGCAGTTTCTTTGTTCGTGACATCGCCATGATGACAGTGACCCGACAACCCGCAAGCACCATAGGAACAAGGCAACACAAAGCTTTAAGGATGTCACCACCAAAGCGTCGCACGGCGTCAAAAGACAAAGGTGTCCCAACGAGGTCACAAGATAAGGCTTCATGAGGTGTGAACATGTAACGATAGTGTTGACACTGACATATTGTTTTTGACATTAGACAGAAATAAAAAATATCCCCCGCCCCTCCCTGAGCCATCACCTTATCGTGGTAGGCGGGGTTGGTGTGTCTCCTTGGAGCCAAGTTGTGTGGGACTTCGTGACCCTGGCAGGGGCACCCATGGAGAAAAGATCCCAGGTGAACGATCAGACAAAATACGATTCGTAGACATCCGATGATGAATGAATTTGGACTTCAATTTCCATGGGCCCACCACCTGTGGGAGGAGGGGCTAAAGAGGTCCGGTTAGCAGAGAGCGAGGTGGAGGCCGAGCTGGCTCTCAGGACGTGAAATGTCATTTCTCTGGCTGAGAAGGAGCCTGATCTGGTGTGCAAGGTTGAGAAGTTCTGGCGAGATATCGTCGGGCTCATTTCGACACATTGCTGGGCCTCTGGTGCCTGTGGTGGACACTGTTCCGCTCTGGAGTTGCCCAAAGTTTGGGCACCAAACAGGATTTCAGAGTACTCACCCCTTCCTGGAGTCCTTGGAAGGGGTCCTGAAGAGCGCTCGCGCTAGGGACCCCGTCACCATTTGGCGTGGGTGGTCTAGAAGATTAACTGCTTGCGCAATAACTTTACCCCTGGCAAAGACAAACAATGAATTATTAGGAAACGAGATGCGAGAGCCTGGTTTGTTCTGAAGATAAAAACCTCACTGAACACGTTCCAACACGCCCGCATCATTTTTAGCAACGACCACCACAAGGAGGCGTGAGGAAATGAGCAGTTTGTTTGGAAAATATTGGAAACAGGAAAGGACGTCGCGATGAAGTCATCTTGACCAGGATTTGACTAGGTCATTGCGGTCTTTAGGAAGTCGTGAGCAAATTATAGGAAAGCATGCATTTTCTTAAGCTCGTGGGCACTTTGTTCTTAAGTATGAAGGACGACATCGGTTTTAAAGACTTTTCGGACTTCTTTCTGGCTTTTGAATGAAGTCACGGTCTTGTTTTAGGACAATTATCAGCTTGCTTGGAAGGCTGATGCATTGAATTATACTCAAGACTAAGAACAGGCACATGGCGGATGCTACACTTTGTTGCGTGAAGTCCACCGCCCACCCTTCTATGAAACAAAAACCTTACTGTGCTGTCACTGTTATTTTACCCTCTAAGGCAGGTTTGCAAACTATTACTTTGATTTGGGCAATGTTTTTAGATGGTAAAAAGGAGCTGTCACTGTTGTCGATTTGATGTGGCTGTTAATATTCAAGTATCAGTCAAATGTTGCTGCTAGGTTGCTAATTTGATTATTTAGTTTGACTGAGAGTCCCAAGGTGACTGATAAAACTTTCTTTGTTGCTCTGTTCCCCAACAGACAATTTTAGTTTTGTCTGAGTTCAGCTGGAGAAAGTTATTTATCCACACACTTATCCACTCGATGCAGTGACAGAATGACTCTTAAATGTCACCCACACGGTTGCGCTTCATAGCTGCCTTTTAGCTGACCTAAAGCAAGCATGTACACGTTGAACAATATTGGGGTCCCGGAATTGACCCCTGTGGAATCCCACGGGTCATTGCCATTTGATCTTGAGACACAGTTAGCAATTTCAGATCAGAGCAGTCTTAGAGCTGACTTATCTATATAGATCTCTCTCTCTCTCTCTGAGAGAGACACACAATGAATCTCTCAAAGAGAGTGAGAGCTCGACCAATATATTTCTAATATTATGACCCACTCTGCGAGTAACAGAAAGCTGATTTTGGATTGCGATCATGGCAAATGGTAGCCTCCAGCCGAGTCTCTTGGCAAGCCCTCTACACGATACACAGATTTCCATCCACTATCAGAACCAAGCCCGGATTAAAGACGGGCGGATTGCATCAGGAAAAGCATCTGGTGTAAAATCTAAGCCGAACGACACATGAGTGACTCAAGGTGCTAACTCGAAGTCACTCCTTTTATTAGGATGTTATTCTAGTTATATGACTCATGATTCTAGGACTGGTGGTTATTTTGTATTTTAGTCGGATATCGAGTCTGTGTTTTTGTGAAGCGCTTCCGGTACATTGTGAAGTCAAAAACCAGTTCGTCAAAGGCAATGGTAACCTCTCAGATGATAATGAACCGTTCATAGTCCACCAAATTTTTATTGTCACATAAAAGGCATCCAACCTTTTTTGTAGTATTTACAAAATAGAGAGAGCCCGTGGATGTCACACGTATAAAAATATGCATTACATCTATAGAAATATGTACATCATGTGCAAAACGTATGGCATACGAACAACAAAAGGCAATGGGAGAAGGACGACCGGAAGCTTCAATGAAGGGATCGGCTGCAGAAGGGCCAGAAGCTCACTTGTGTTTCATTTTCCTGCGCGCAGAATAGTGTGACAACACCTTGAAAATTTCCTAACTTTATCATGGTGATAAACCTCGCAGTCTACAAGAGGGGGCGGTTCGACAAGAGTTTTGATCTGAAGTCATTCTGAGTGTGTTAATGCGTAAATCTGCATTAACATTACAGTACATCGAGAAAAGGAGCAGCCGTAATCACTACAGTATGAGCTGTCCTCAACTGGCCAGTGACACTCGGATCATCTGCGTGACTGCAGCAGAGATCAGAAATGACAGAACATAAACCAAGCAAACGAAACGTAGCTTTACAAAGGAAAATTACGCTTGACAGGATATCCGTTTTTTTTTTCTTACCTGAAAACAAGTGATAAATAAAATAATAAAAAGTGATAAAATCCCAAAGCCTTTTTTGGGGCTACAGAGCATTCATATTTGGACACCCTTTAAAGCAAACAGATATCAAATCCAAAAGAAAAAAAAAAATAAACATCTCAAAAGGATTTAACACTAACACTCAGCAATGTGGAAACAAACATTGGCTTGACAATACAGAGCTTACTTTTAGATATCTATACAAAACTCTCTCCAACTTAATGTTCTGTTGGTGCACAGACGTTGGACAAACGGGGCGTGAAAGTTTAGAGTTTGGCTCAGGTATTGTTGGCTTTTGTGCACATACACTGCGTCACTGTGCCGCTACAGTACTGACATGAAATGCTCCGTTCTGATTTGTGTCCTTAGGCGATAAAATTGATTTACACTGCTTGGGACAAATGACAAACTCCGATTTGAAGACTCAAGTGGCACGATTCGTTTTGATCCGTCAGCCTTATCCGATATGCGTCATTTGAAATAGAGATGGAAATTTAAGTAAAAAAAAAAATAAAGGGATTAAACTGAAATTGAGGAGTATAAATCAAGCCTGATACACAATTTCTTGCATTTAAGTTGAAAACTAAGCGTGAAGTGAAAACGTAGACGAGAGATGCTCAAAGGTCATATATGACGCAGACAAGGTTTAAGAGCCCTCTTTGCTGGCACCTCTCGGGGTGTCAGGACATGTTTGAACCCTAGACAGCCAAGAGAAGTCGTTGGAAGCCTTTTGTGATTTGACTCGTCAATGATTTGATCATGGTAGCACATTTTGTTCTCGCAACGAGACTTCGAGAACGGTCATGCACACGGGAGACGGAAAAGACGACGCATGAAGCGCATGCAACTCACTGGCGCATGCACAGCGGCACGACTTTATGACCGTTTGTTCTTCCTGACCAGCTCGGTCTCATTGTTGAGTGCAGCGGAACCTCAAGTTTAAAAAAAAAAAAAAAAAAAAAATCTTGACAATTGTGATCAGCATTTATCCATTAAAAAAAATAGTGTTGATTTGTCTTTGGCTTTTGCGGAATGACACCACAGAAGAGTGCGGGTGATGACCAAAGTGGGATGACGACGGTACAATAATAAAACAGGACAATTATAAGTCATATTAATTAATAATGACAAAAGCCCACAGCAAAGTTGTCAGCCCGAAATGGGAAGACAATCTCCTCTTAGGCACATGAACACAAATATTGTCTTGTCTGTTGCTGCCCAGCGTGTTCAACTTGCAGTTGTTTGAAGGTTTACAATTACAAAACATCAATGCTAATCCATAAACCCATTTATGGCATTTCAGATCCTAAATTAGCATTAAGCTATCAGACTCCTGTTAGAGGAAATCATATGTTTTGGTCGAGTATTTTGGTGTTGAAGCAAGCATGGTTTGTCCCTGACTGCATTTACAGAACTGAGATGTGGGAACAGGTGATCAGGATTTTTTTTTTTGTCACGTTTAAAAGCTTGTGGGAGGGGGAAAAAGCTAAAAATATATCAACATATATATTGTAATTTTTTTTTTTTTTTTTTTTTTTTTTAAACACTCCTGTCACGATAATTTAAGTTTGGACTCAGGGACAAGCTAATCCAATTGCTCATGTGTCCAATGGGAAAGTGGTTTCAAAATGGAAACAAATTAGAAGTCAACCACCATCACCGAGGTCAACTTTAGAGATTCCACAGTATTCATACTCCCGACACACACACACAAAGTGTAACGATACTGCAGGACAGTTAAGATATGGAAGTCAACGTCTCCAAACACTGATGCATCTTCAGCCACACCGACTCGAAGCGTGTCATTGTTTGTTCCCTTTCCCTATTTGTTCGTCACAAAAGCTGCCGGCATTATGTGCCAAAAAAAAAAAAAAAAAAAAAATTCCTAATTTAATCATCGTTGCAGAATACATTCAAAACAAAAGAGACCCGATGAGAAATCTCCAAAGACGATCGGCCTTGCGATCCCGAGCGGCACTCATCGCGATCCATGTTGATAGTTTTCGGAGCAACTGATGATATGCAGAGTTCACATTAGCGTAATTTTGAGGCGAGCGACATGGTGCCTCTTTAGTGCATAGCTCCCCACGTGGTCACAGGAGCATCCTGATGGAAAGCCTTTTGATCATTTACTGGGAGGAAAAATAAATCAAATAAAATGGTGTGCTGTCTTGACCTTAACCATTTCAGGGACAGCGGTTACGACAGTGGACAGCCTATCATGTTATCAGGTTGTCGTTATTGGCGGATGAAAGGGGTAAACTGGTTAACAAGGGGGGTGTGTGGGGGGAGGGGGGGTTAGTCAATCGGCTCTCCATAGAGTCCTGCGTCCACTTCAATCGGTCCGTCAGCGCCATGACAGTGTAACGAGTCACGTTTGATAAATCGGCAAACATGCAGGATGGGATGGATCAGGCTGATCCTTCCCACAGTTTGAAGTAATTGAGTCAGGGAGTGGTCAGTATCATCTGATTTTTTTTTTTTTTCTTTGCTGCCAAGGTAACTTCTCCTTTTGTTAGAACGATCTCATTTTTGTTCAGCAGCCGTCACTACCGCTGGATATGAGCCAGGCCTGGAGATTGCGGAGAACCTGTATGTACAAAAAGTCCTTGCTACCAGAATTCCTTTGGTTCCGCCTCTTTTTTTGCTGCTCCAAACAATCGTTTTCCCTTCTTTACCCCTCCCCCTCCAATTGCCATACAAGTGACATCATCAATGGAAGCTGTGCAATCCCCGTGCTTGTTGTTCCACGTGCATCAGTGCACTGCCTGTACAGTGGCGTTTTTTTTTTTTTGTGAATGCTCTCCTTCTATTCATCCCTCTTTGTTCCAGTTGGGTCTTTGCTACTCAACCCTCGCTCTTCTCGTCTTCATTCCTCAGTCCCAGTGCAGTTGCAGGTCATGCGTGTCCAGGAAATCTGTCGGGATCCCGAGCGGCGTGAGTGCCCCACCGGGACCCGGTGGCATGGTGAGGTCCAGCCATTCCATGTTGTCTAGTGTCGGGTCAGAGAGGCCGATATTGAGCGAGGTAGGGGGAGAGGAGGAGTCGCAGAAGGACAGGTCGGACGTGTCCATGGGCGAGTAGGGCTGATGGTCCATCAGCTGCGCCTGCAGCTCCTCCATCAAGCCCCGGGTGCGAGGGTCGGAGGCCGCCGGCGTGTCGGCCAGCGTCCTCTCCAGGAAGGCCTCGAGCTGGTTATCGGTGGCCAGCGAGCAGAGGTTGGCCAGGCTGGGGTCCATGGCCGGACTCAAGGTTGGAGGGGGGGCCACCTGGATCTGGGGAGGGTGCCTGGAGAGGACGGTGTTGACCGGAAGGGTGGTGATGTTGGCTGTGACCGGGTGAGTCTTGTTGAGAGACAGTGGAGGGTCATGCTGGATGAATGGAGTGATTTCTAAAGGGTGGTCAAATGGGGCACGGGAGAGAGCAGAAAACATCATGAACCAAGATGTCTTGAGGCGGCATTTTCCAGTTACGTTTTGGGGAGAAAAAAAAAAAAAAACAGCACCGTATTGGATAAAATGATCAGAAAGGTAACGGCAAAGAGAAAGTTTGAAAAAGTGTAATTGCATATGTTGTAAGCAGGGGTGTCACTTGATTCAATGGAGGGAAGCACTTCAAGTCCAGGGTGTGAGGAAACAAAGCATACAGGCGCACATTTCACACACGTTAACGACTGAGATTCTGAACATAAACGTTTTCAGCCAACGTTAGATTTGTCGAGTCATTTCAATTCTTTTAATAGAGTGCACAAACATTGGACGTGTTTGTTCGGCAATGTTATATAATTTATTGTTATTTGGGGGAGCAAAAACTTTGAAGTCCGTCTGTTTTTGGTCGCGACCAAACAAGTGGACAAAAGGGCTTTTCTGGTGTGAATACGCCCTAACTGCCTTCTTACCTCCACTCTGTATGAGAATGTCAAACAAATCATCCATCTGCTGACTGGTCGCCATGGCAACCTGCAAAGAGAGATGCAGTATGTTTATTTTTGTGTGTGTGTGTGTGTGTGTGTGTGTGTGTGTGTTTGGGGGGGGCTTGGCAGTGGTTTAATCTCTCAAGCATGGTGTGAATAGTGTGCGTGTGTCTGTTTATGGAGAGGGGAGTTGGAGGGCGGGGGCTCTAACCTGTGACGCGTTGTTGACATGCAGGTTGCGGCTCTGTTTGACAGCGTCCTCATAGCGAGGAGGCTCCCGTGTCTTGGGAGGCTGGGAAAGAAGAGACGCAGGCTGGAGGATGAAGGTCGGCTGCGGAGAGGAAGGCTTGCAAAAGGAAAAACAAACGGAATTATCGCCGTAATCCCATAATACTAAGAATTAAAACGACACAAGAGTCACACTCGTGAAATTTTGACACCGTGCTATGTCCACTGAATTTTGTGTCGATCGTTGAAAGCAGTGGCGTAGGGCAATTTTTTTTTGGGGGGGGGGGGGGAATTCACCTGGGGCAGGGCTCTGTCCTAACCGCCAGGTTTCCTCTAATGCCATAAAGTTATGAAAGTCCTTAATTTTTAGGTGCTTAAATAATAAACAAGGGTTGCCAGGGAGCACACAAACGTCAGACAACTGGAGTTACCTTATTCAGTGGCCCATTAGAGACGTGGTTGGGAGAAGATCGAGGAGAGGCCCTTCTGTCCGGGGAGCTCCCCAGGAAACACTGAGGATTTATCTCAGGCCTCGGATGCTTCTCCACGTCAGTCGTATTATTGCACAATGTCAAAGTCTGCAAGTATCATGAAGAACAGCATTTTGAGTCTCGCAGAATTTGACCTGGAAATTACAACTGACACAAGATGGGAGGGAGAAAAAAAAAATCTCTGCAATACTTGTCTTGCATCTTGTGTGGCGTGGCGAACCTGCAGCAATGAGTTGTGGTTGGCCAACTGCTGGTTCGGGGACGTCTCCATCTTGGTGCTCTGAGGCTGAGGAATGGAGGTCTGGACGAGGCCTGGATTTGAGACAGTCGCCTGAAGGACAGGCTGAGATCACGAGAAAAACAAGTTTAGTTTGCTGTAGTGACTGTCAGGAAAAGAACGCAAAATTAGATTGGGGCTTCCAAAACAAAGGACCATTGTGGCCTTACCTGCAGGCTGACAGTGGTGCTTGGCAGCTGGATGGCGGTGGCATTGTTGGGCAGTGATACGGGGAGCAGGATCTGAGTTGCAGTCTGGCCACTTGTCGTCAGCAGAGTCGGAGTCTGTCCAGATGTGGTTAACAAGGTCTGCGGTTGACCGAGCACCTGGGACACCCCCCCGGGATGGCTGATGAAGAACTGCTGCAGGTTGGGGGTGGTAGGTTGGGACTGCGGCTGGGTCTTAAGTTTGGGACTTCTCTGGGAATGGTAGAGGAGCTGTGGGCTAGTGCTTACTTGGTCCTGGGTTTGGGTGAGAAGCCGAGTTTGGGGTTGAAGCTGAATTGGCTTTCCAGAAGAAAGAGTCACGTCCTCCAACTTGACCATAGTTTGCTGTGGGGTTGTGAGAGCCTGGGAGCCCAGCATCGAGTTCGGAAAGGAAACTGGAGAGCAGTTTGTCAAGACCGTTTTCTCTGGTTTTACAGCGTTGGCGTTCAAGACTGTTGAAACGGGGCTAATTGAACATGAACCAGTGGTCAGCTTGGAAGTTACTGAGGGAACGTTGGTGGTACAGCTGCTCTGACTCCTCTTCTCTACCTCCAGCTGCATCTTGAGCTCCTCCACCAACTTCTGCTCCTGCTCAAGCTTCCTCATCAACTCTTCAATCTGTCGCTGCTTCTCATGAAGCCTCCTGTCCTTCTCAGGGACTCTCAAATCAGAGAGAGGTGAGGATCCGGTAGGCGCCATGGGGATGGCGGTCAGAGTGGTAGGAATGGGCGTGGGACTAGTGGTGGGAGCTGAGGAGCTGGGAAGATCTTGGAAGGGCTTCAGCCTTTCGATCAGATCGGTTTTAGTTCCTGATACAGGGAGGCCGCGAAGCTTGAGCTCCAGTTTGAGTTCGGGGACCTAGAACAGAAATCATGAGTAGTAAGAGGGAAATATAAATGGGCTAACAGTATTAGCATCCTTTGGATGTTCTTAATTTATTTCTCATCTTTCTAACCTAGATACCTGGAAAAACAATGGGAGCCATCCATGTGTCCAATTTCTCAAAACACTCATTGAAGGTTCAATGAAGACTCTGTGTGTTGTTTGTTTAAATGTGTCCTGCGATTGAAAACGAGTCCACCTGGAAAAACAATGGGAGCCATCCATGTGTCCAATTTCTCAAATCACTCATTGAAGGTTCAATGAAGACTGTGTGTCGTTGTTTATTTAAATGTGTCCTGCGATTGAAAACGAGTCCGGTGCTAACCTGCCTCTTGCCCAAAGTCAGCTGGCACACTCTCCAGTTTGCCCACAATACTGAGAACAAACGCTATAGAAAATCAATAGATGTGTTGCATTGGATAGTTTCGAAAATAATTTGTCTGCTCAATGTAGGGCAAGCGGGAAAAAAAATCCCACAATACTGAGAACAAACGCTATAGAAAATCAATAGATGTGTTGCATTGGATAGTTTCGAAAAGAATTTGTCTGCTCAATGTAGGGCAAGGGGAGAAAAAAAAAAGTCGACCAAGTCCAAGTCGAACACAAAAATAGGTCAAGCTAAATATTTTGCCGTCAAGTTTCATGTTCCGCCATTCACACATACATTTGCAGGCGACAATAGAACCCACTTGTACTGTACTGCGACTACTCCTGATTGTTTCAGTCTATTAGCACCCTCTATGGATGGAAAGTTGATACAGCAGCCAGGAAATGTGTTTTTCCTTGTCACGGCCACAGCGATGATATTTGGCACAGATTTTTTTACACCATTTTCCTCACGCAAACTGCGTCTTTTTACCCGAAATTGGGATGAGTCAGGGAAATAGCGTACGGCGAGAAGGGTCTTGTCTGTGGACCGTTCATGACGAAATGTGTTTTTCCTTGTCACGGCCACAGCGATGATGATTGGCACAGATTTTTTTACACCATTTTCCTCAGGTAAACTGCGTCTTTTTACCCGAAATTGGGATGAGTAGAGTCAGGGAAATAGCGTACAGCGAGAAGGGTCTTGTCTGTGGACCGTTCATGACTAGATTTGAACCCTGGTCCAATGTGTCCTATATAATCTACCTTTGCTACCTACAATAACCGATTCGAAAAAGATTCGGCAGTATCCGCCGTAGCTACACAGCTTCCTGTCTTTATACAGCCTGCTTTGATATCAGCCCCAGCTGTAACGACAACAGGATTTCAAATGTCCTTGGCACGCTTTCCAAGTGGCGCGTTCCCGGGTAGTCGCTTCACGCAGTTCAAAATTCATCCAAGTACCTTCATCTCCTCCAGGTTTGCAGGCAAGACTCCGGGCTTGCGGCTCGATAATGAGTTGTTCTGTCGGGCTAAGGGCATTGGGGGCAGTGGAGGTGCAGTGGGTAAAGAAACCACAATGGAGGCCGGCATACCGCCGGCGTTGCCGCTTTGGCCTTCTGCCACCGGTCTACAGGAGATGGAAAAAATAACAGCTATTGATATCAGAGCAAACATGACAATTTGAAACATTAAAATAGGATAAAACACAGAAAAACGAGAGCAGTTGAAACCCCCCCACCCCCCAAAAAAAACAGAACCCGGTTAGTCATCAATTGCTCCATTTTTAGACACTAATGCTAAAAGCAGCTGTGTAGCCATCCCTTGACAGTCATAAATCAGAAATAAAAGCTTAAAAGACTCCTTGAAGGATGTGGAGCAGTTTTGACACTTATGAAAACTGGAGGATTGCAGTCTAGCCCGTGACTGAGTGATCCAAAGCTTTTGTGATTTTTTTTTTTTGTTGCTTATTTCATAAACATACTTGAGTGGGGCTGGTAATATAGTTTGATAGTTGTAGTGTTGCTGTTGCTGGCTGAGTATCTGCAGTTGGAGGAACAGCTGTTGTTGCTGGAGAAGTCGGGCATAGGAGGAGTCCATTGGGGCCTCGCTGGGCTCCTGCTTCTGGTCCGGTGGAACGTACTGGTGGTACTTCAGCTTTTTCACCCTTGGCTTGGCGTCTTTGCTTTTCTTACTGCGGATCTTCTCAGAAGGCAGTTTGTGCTGGCTTTGCTGGGGGGGTTCCCAAATGTCAAATTGTGCTGAATCAGCTCAAAACACAAGCAGTGAAGAAAACTTGATGATACTTACCTTCACCAATGTTGGGCCTGGCTTGAGTGGAGTACTTGTAGTGACTGGTTGAGCGTGAGAAATAGCCGGGCGGCTTGTAGGCTGCTCATTAGTAGTGACCACCCTCATCGAGTCTGTAGTGGATTGTGTAGCAGCTAGGGGGGACTGATAAATTCGATAAAAGTACAGATTCATTTTCAACATTGGGACTTTTTGTGGTCAGACAGTGACATTGCTATTTATCGATCTGACCTTCAATACGGGGGGGCCTGAAGGAGGTGGGGCCGGCGAGGGAGTTTCTGGGGATGTGATGTCCCCGGGTGAGGGCATAGAGCTCTGAGACTCTTGGCTGGCGGGCTGCTCCGGGGACAAGGCGTCACTGCTGTCCTCATCCATGACCTTGGGATAGTTCACCTGCCCTATTAACATGAAACCAGGATGCGACAAGTGTCACCGAGCAGCATAGTTCCAGTTTTCTGTTGGGTTATGTGGTAAATATTAGCCCCACCTATGCTATTTGCCACTATTTCCTGTCTCACCTATTATGGCCTCTTTAAGGTTCGAATCCACAGGCAATATGTTCTTCTCAACCAGCTCCATGGGACCGGGTCTTTGGGCTATTTTCTCATTCAGGTTGTCCGCCAGCCGTGCCCTTTTCAGCTTCATCTGGGTGGCCTGGAGTGACGGCTCGGCTCCAGTCTCTGAGGATACAGCATCACACATCAAGTATACATCCATCAAAATATGTAAATAGATTTTAGGGGGGGGGGTTGCGGGTGGCATCTATTTACTATCAAATGTGTATTTATGGAGATCAGGGGAGACATTTTGTCAGGTGGGGAATGCGACTACCAAACAAGTATAAAATGTCAACTATACTTGCCTTGTAAAATGTGCATCCTGACCAGTTCTGCTCTCTCTGGACGACTGCGGATCTTATGCTTCAGAAAATTCTCAGTCTGAGGAGAGTCACACCAACAGAGAAAAACCTCCTGATTTGAAAATACTCGATACACTTGATTTTTTTTTTTTTTGGGGTGAGTCTAAAATGATTTTCATACCCTGGCTCTCTCCAAGCTGCGAATCTGCCCATGGAACGCAGCCGGGCTCTTCAGCGCTAAACAAAACACATTTGGGTTCAACATTCTCCCCTTAACCATGAGTCCCCACTAAACACGCAAACTAGAAGAGTTGACAGTATCGGGTAAGCTCCCACGCCGACACATACGCCATAGAGTGATGCGCAACTGACAGGCGCCATTACTCACGTGGCATGATGCCCTGATCCACCAACTGCTCCCGAGTTCGTCTTTGTTGAAGTCTCAACTGCAACACTGGGAAAATAAAACACACAAATGATTGGAAATAAAAAACATAAGGCCACGCACCTCAAAGAGACAGCAGTCTAACTGACACGAACCAACATGATACTGTGGTCCCGGGTGGTACGACGTGACTGACAATAGTGTCCATCAGTCCCTAAGTCTGGAAAATTCCTTTTTCTGGAATCGTCAAAGACATCACAGACACACTCGCACAAAGCATTATAAAGAGCTATTACGAGGCGCGCTGCAAAGCATGCTGGGAAGTGTGCGGTCACGCCATCGTTACAATATGTAGTTTTAATATTGTATTTTTGGTGGAACACTCAAAAGTGAATTCCTGCTTTTGAAAAAATAAAGCATAAAAAGAATAAATTATTCATATCCTCAAAAAAAACAAACAAACAGTCTACAGTTTTTATAGGCTTACATTTTACTTGGTGCTTATCGTAGAAATGATGACACGCGACTGATTTTTTTTCCGCCTAATGTTGAAATTCAAATGGGATACTTCCTGGCCATCTTGATCTGCTTAGCATGGTGAAGTCTAAGGAGCCCTGCGTCAGAAATAGATAGGGCGTGTATTTTTAGCAGAATACAACAGCGGTTGGGAGCAGCCCGACAGGGTGTGTGCTACAGCGAGAACGGGACCCGATGAAATCATTGTGCTCGATCCAGTTTGCTAACACTGGCGTCACCTTGACTGTCATGCTAACTTGTGTGAAAAGATCAGAAATCCTTTATTAGTCTCGCAATGGAGAAATTCCCAACCACACACACAAGCTCTCTCTCTCTTTTTTTCTTTTGCCTGGCAACTGCGTCGGCGTAAAAACACAGACACCTGCATCAATGCGCTGCAGGGAATATTTCGACCGCAAATAATAGGCCATTTGTGACTGCTCAGGCTCCACACTGTCAACTCACCAAAAAAAACAAAAAAACAAAAAAAAAAACGCAATTAAGCACGGCAAGCGGCGTCGCATTTGGTTTGGGTGATTCACAGACACTTCAAATGAAAAGGCCTGCTCGCCTCGACAAACACGTGAGGAGCAGTGACGCAACCGGGGCTGGGTGAGCCGTTTATGCAGACAAACACAATAACAAGCGGCAGGTCGTGCGTTCGAATGAATTGTGAAGGGATTTTCTATTTCGGGTGACTGATTGTAAATAGCACAGCAAATGCACGAAACAAAACATGATATTAATTTTAATCGATAAGCGTGCGAGTCAAATTAACATGGCCTCAATCTTTGCCAAAACAAACGCCGAGGGACTGTGTACTCTGCTCAGAGGAGCACCTCATCTCCCCCTCCCACTTCCTGCAACCGCATGCTCAGTGCAACTGATGCGATCTCCGACGCAGGGATGATGGCGAGCAGATTTCAATTTTCATGTTTAAGGCAATATTTTAAAAGGGGCTCTGTGGTTGCCCAAATGCTTCGAGATGGATCATAGGCTGGAAAGTATGAAGTGAGCGTGTTCTCACTGAAGGGGAAATGACAAAAGCACAGATGATGAGTGGCCATGACGACTGTTGACATTCCACATTAACTTTTCCACGGCCAAATTTCACCAAGCTCTCCTGCAGACCTCAGCAACCATGTATGACATCGGCTCCCGCACTCCGATTTTTCCGACATTAAAACGTTGCATTCCCTTGATAAACTCGTGTTGATTGAGATGCAAGCTTGGGCTTTGCATCTCCGACTCCCAACTTTTTCCTGCACTCTTTCAACTTATTGGCCCACTTCATGATTCTGATACGTAGACGAAGTCGATTAGTCACCTCACCGTTTTTGCGTTCATTGAGCGGCGGCAGATTCTGGGTGGGCTGCAGTGACAACTCCTCCATCTCATGCGTCACTGCTTCACTCTGCGGACTGGGCACCAGCAAACACATCCCATCTGCCCCGAGAAGCTCCCGGCAAGCCTGCGGCTCCATCCTGCCTTCAGGAGAGAAATCGGGGATGTCCGAGAGTGTCCGGGGCAAGCAGCAAGTTTGTACGATAGGTCACCGTCTTTCAGGCCGAGTGTGGTTGCTACCTGTGAGAAGCCAAGGACAAGGGGAAAGAATAAGACATTTTGGGGCGCAAAACAAACCATTTGAACCCTTTCCTGCAGCCTGTCACCTGATAACATGGTAAGCTGTCCACTTTAGTTCCCGCAGTCCCTGAAAGGCTTAAGCTTCCCACTGGGGACTTTCAGAAGTAGATGACTGCCTGTTTGCTTCAAACATGCATGCCATTTATTTATCTAGCAGTGCCTTTGCAAACATCGTTCCATTCCAGGACCTCCAAGACGTCTTACTCCTCGGGACCATCTTGATGTTACTGTTGGCTACGTTCACATGGACGCTGTCAATTCTTCCCGTAGGTCCCAAAGTACCACAAGAATACAAGCGAGGAACTGAAATAGGTGGTCAAAACACGGGCTCATGATTGAAACTGAAGGTTGCTGCTAGGTAATGCTTCCAAACCACAACAAGCCCTACTTCTCTTAAAAAAAAAAAAAAAAAAAGAGGATTAAAAAAAAAGCTGTATGATCAAATCAGAACTCACAAGCATACAAGAACATACTTTGTGTTTTTGACTGACTGGAAACACCATCTGTGAAACCGTTCAAGTAACAGAATGGAAGGTAATTTAAGTTTAGAATGTCACACGGTTGCTTGTGTAAAATAGGACAGTCTGAACATTTTGGCAACTGCTGAAGTAGTCCAATGTTTTTCTTAACTCAAGAGTTTACAAGAAAATCTTCCCCAAAAAAAAGAGAAAAAGACAGCGTGAGTAGCTTCGGAACCAGGGTGGATACGGAGATTTCTCAATTTGATGAAAAGACAAAGTAACCCACACGAAGCAAAACTTAGAAATTGGCAGCAGCAGCAGACCATAGCTGGTACCCCTTCTGTCAGCTCCAAAAAAAAAAAAAAAGTACCGTATTTTCTGCAGCTGTATTGTATTGTATTCCTTTAGCGTAGCTCCATCTAGTGGATGCGCAATGCAAGCGCAGCCACTATTGTAGCACCTATTCTATACGCCTAATTACGCAGTGCGCCCTATATATGAAAACAGCAGGCCATTTACTGAAGATGCGTCTTATAATATGAAGCACCTTATAGTGCAGAAAATACGGTAAATTTAAGGCTGTGAGCTCCGACATATTCACGGGTCGGCATTTGCCGTTTTTTGGAATCCTATTCTCTGTTAATCACCTAAAATATTGCGACACTGTGCGATGTTTTTATGCCAAGGCCAAAGCAATACAAGTATTATGTGTTATTTCGACTAGTATGCTAGCTAATAAAATTGAGCCGTAAGAGATTTGGACGCCTTTCAATGGTTCCAACAATCCAAAATGTTTGACAACGAGTCTGAATTTGCCGTGTTTCAAGAATCGATTTCACAAACAGAAAATGTGGTCTGTCTGGTGTAAGTATTGTTAAATTCAGTTCGGAGGTGGTGAAAAGGTGCATGAGTAGCATTTTTAAGGTGCTGAGTAACCTCATATTTTGGAGCTATTATCCAAACTAGCTCGAACATATTACTACTCTAGATGGCATTCTGATATAAGCAACATGTTCAATGGCGAACAAACGAAACACGAAAAAGTATTTGTAAATCTATTGTGATATTGGAAAAAAAAAAAAGAACACCCCAGAAATTTTATAGCTCATTCTGGAAATTGGATTTCGAAGAGTTGGAATGATAGCATCATCACCGTGCTTCTGCTGTAGAATATGACTAGTGTACTTCAAATGCAACAGTGAGAGCTTTTGCAGATTTTGGCAGCCGTGTGATGACTTGGCCTGGTAACTGGCAGTTGGCTGGTTCATGTCCTGCTACAGACCAAAATATGAATATTGGAACAAGAAACTGGGGAGGTGCCAGCTGGGTTCCCATGCTTCAGTCTCCCAATGGCTTGGTTTGGGTTTTTTTTTTTGGGATGCAGCCCCCTCAGTGACATTTTGTGCAAGTGTGGTTACAGCTCAGACCAAGACTGTCCCATGCTCAATATAACATTGCGTTTCCCCTCAAGGGGACCAGCAAAAGGTTGTTGTCTTTCTATTTACAGCCAACAAGTAACACAAGTAATGGTAAGAGTCACGTTTATTTGCTTGTGGTGTCAGTTTCCCAGACTTCGCTCATGCAAAGTATCAAGTTATCAACCTTAATGGAATATCGTGTTTCTTCTGGATGACAAGTTTTATGCGGTGAGTATGTATCAATCATTTGCACCAGGTTGCACCCAGCCCTTAATGATGCGCTTTTATTTTTAAGAAGCATATTATTGCTGTTATGACTGCAAGTGCCTACCTTAACTCATTCAGTACCAGCCAAGTCTAGATCAAGTCTGAAAATACATTTAGAAACGTGGTTTTCTGATCTTATCTTATCTTATCTTTGGGAGTGAATGAGTTCAGTAAAAGAGGACCGGAAGAGAAGAAGATTCCATATACCAGATTTGCATTTGAAGATTTATACAAATGTCCCTTCTTAGTTCAAGGATTTATGATATATGTGTTTATATCTCCGTTGAAAGAAGCTACAATCGAATGGAGGATGAGTACCACCACTTCAAGGTGCCTGAATGAAGCGAGGATGTGGGGAATGACAAAAGGGAAGCTCGCAGGCCGCTTTGGGACAAAGGCTGTGGCTCGACGGAACTGAACACGAGAGCCACACAGCCGTCTGGGTGAAGAGACTCTCGGAATACAAAATCGATGATCGGGACACACACACACACACACACACACACACACACACAAACCACTCCAAGTGCTTTTCCGCAAATGTGCCTTGGTTACCAAACATTTGGTTTGGATGCACAACTGAAATTTACGTTACCGTTTAATGCCTTTGTCCAAACAGACGTTTCCATGCAGTATTCCCAGCTGACCACAGACTCATGTTGGTCGCGTAAAAAAAAAAAAAACAACCTGACTTTAACGAAAACGTTTGATTCCGTAAGTGACAGCTATGAAATATGAACGGTAAGAGGCATGGTTTTGGTGTTAGAAATGGAAAAATGGCTCGAGGAAAAAAACAAAAAAACAAAACAGGCATGTAGAGAATGCAAAAGAGAGGAAGGGACACATAGTTGTCATGACTGACACATGCCGGTGAAGAGTAAACGTTCTAACTGCACAGGCAGTGTCAAATGTGCGGTATTCTTTTTTTTTTTGAGTGACACGACCTACTATATCAACTATATCAACTAATCTGGACAATAACACTCGCCACAGAAGTTGCACAAAAGCATGGCTGCAACTCAACTTCCCACAACTCACGTTGTTCTTTCGATGCATTGAATGAATAATTCATTCCTTCCAATCGACTGACTCCAAAATGATTTCATTCGAGAGTCGAGACAGATATCGGCCAGTCAACCAACACCTATTAAGAGTGATGGCTGGATTATTTATTTTTTATTTTTTTAAATAAACACAATTCTTGCAATTTTCCATCCACCATCCAGTATTTTGCAACGTTTTGGACATCCATTTTGAACAAACCAAATACATGTGTTGCTTTACCATGATTCGCGGAACAAAAAGTTCAGTGACCCACAGTCTTGGTGCGACGACAAGAGGAGGTCAAAAGGGTTGGGTTTTACAAATAGCAACGGTTGCGTCAATTTCCACCGATAAATTACAACCCAAGTGCTAGCTTGCGCGCTGGCCCGCGCGCGCACACACAACTTGCACTTAACAGATGTCTTCGTTTAAACGCTAACGCGGCACCAACTGTAATAGTGATGTGGTCTCCGTCCAAAACAGAAAGTTCGAAGAAAACAAATGGCAAATGACACTTTTGTTGCGAAGGAAAACGTCATCGATTCAAAGTTAATTTTAAACATGCGGTCCGTAAACAACGAAATAAAACATTAACCATTGGGCCAGAATGAAAGAGTGTGAAACCAAAGTAGTAAGCGGCAAAAAGAAGTTCAAAACTCACGTGTGCCAACGAAACGCTGTACGAGTTTTAGAAATAAGATCACAGGTCCTCTTGCAAACGATAGTGGATTGTATTTTATAGTATATTAATAGGCACTAAATTCACGCACACATTGCCGCGCGAGTACGATCATCCCTCCGTGCCAGATTCCCTGAGAGTTTGCCGTTTGGGGGCCCCAAATAGACTCGATCTGGTCCAAGAAAAACGTCTGTTTTCATCCAGAGATAAGCCGAGCGGTGATGTCATCACTTGGAAGTTGGGACTCATTTAGCCGAGGCCTGCTCTTTTCTCACAGACTCACTCGCACGTGCGCCGCCGCTTCCTTCCTGGCTGCCTTTGCGCGCTGGAAATGGTAGCTGAGGAATGGCCGAACGACAAAAAAAACAAAACCAAAAAACAAAAAAAAACAAAACATGACCTGATTCCGCAAAGCTTTTGGGAAACGACATCACACAGTCGCGGAGTGAGGGAATCTCGAGATAGCTCAGCTCGGGCGCCGTCAATCACAAAGATTCCAATGTGTCAACAAGGATTAGAGTGTCGGTGCGATGGGAACGTGAAATGAATCTGTTGCGACTTGTCATCAAGATTTTATTGTTTTCACATGACATCACTGGTTAACTTTCGACACTGTCGCTTCAAACAAAAAAAATCCCCCTGGCAGCCAAACTGTTTGTTACATGGCAGCGAACCGAGACTGGCTCATTGACTAAAGAAGCACCAATGTGTCAATCATTTCGAATTGGCTCGGCAAAATAGGTTCAATGACTGGTCGAACCAAATCATGCAGCACAGAACGGAACATTCTTGTCACAAAACAAGCGAGTCCAATTATTTCACATTGTTTTCCGTAAATATTTTACCCCCCCAAAAAAGGATGAAGATCTGTTTTGAATGGGTCACAATTACCCAATGATGCCATTATCATTTGCTTTTTCTTTTTTATATGAATGTCGAAAAAATGTATTCAAATCGGTATTGACACACAGTCATGCAACTGCCCAACCTCCTCCAAGTTTCGAAAAAATGTATTCAAATCTCGGTATTGACACACAGACACACAACTGCCCAACCTCCTCCAAGTCTGCCACGTCGCGTGCCACTCCACTCGGCTCCACCTCTTAAAATATCAGATTCTCACAGATGGAAGACGTAAATCTAGAATACATAGAGTCGTCTACCGCATTTTTTTATTGCATGTTCAAATACTGTACATTGATTTATTTCATTCGGTGTTGTGTTTAAAGCGTATAGATAAAAAGTATGACCCCTCCCAAAAAAATATTTTATATCTTTTATATGGTCTCTATTGAGCAGGGGTGTCAAACTCATTTTTGTCGCGGGCCACTTTTGAGTTCTGTCTTCCCTCGGAGGGCCATGATGACAGTGAAACCACAAACATGTTTCATCGCATTATCGCATGATTACTTGGAAGGGTAACAAAATTATTGCAAAATCTCAACGTCATTTATCACGGATGACAATTTGACACTTTGGCTCATTTTTTACATAAAATGATGCCGGATCTGGGCCGGATCTGGCCCCCGGGCCTTGAGTTTGACACCTGTGCTATAGAGCATATACGCAACGTGCCACTAAATTAAGGGTTCCACCTCAATGCTGGGGAATGATGGGAATCGAGGTATCAACATTCGAGGTATTTGAACCAACTTTCTGTTCAGTCATCGCTTCACTCGGCGGCTGGAATCAAAACACGGGGCAGGGGATGATGACTTTGCCATCCACCCATACGCACGCATGTGGAAGTTAATGCACACTTTTCAACACGCCCTGCCGGCGTGCATGACTCAGCGTCTGGATTTGCTGAGGCATCATCACGCATGTGGAAGTTAATGCACACTTTTCAACACGTGGCCGCCACATCCTGCCGGCGTGGATGACTCAGCGTCTGGATTTGCTGAGGCATCACTTCACTTCTACAGATCAATTAAGAGCGTGATAAGATCATGCGGCGAAGACAGACCTGGTTTTGTCTCTCATTTGCACGACTTCAATCACATCGTAGTCACTTGCATCCATCCATAAGGGCTTAACTATTCAAGGTCACAGGGAATTGAAAGTGCGACTTCAATATTGGAATGGTTACCAATCAACCACAGAGAACGTACCAAGGCACAACCTTTCAAATTTATATTCACACCATCAATTAGTCGGAATAGAACACATGCCGCCTGCAGAGGAGTCAGTCAAGTGAACCATTACACCAAGCGTGACTCATGCCCCCCCTCCCCCAAAAACAAAACCCAAACAGATGTCTGTAGTAGTACCAACAACCCAACTATGAAATTCTGAATAGTTCTAAAGAGGATCCAGACTGCTGTAAAGTACAAACAAAAAGAAAGAAGAAAAAAAAAAAAGCAAGGAGCCTGGCTCAATGTTATCAATATGGCAACTACAATGTGGTTGTTAACTGTTTTCATTGTCATTTTAATGACTAGGGAGACATTTCCAACACCCAACACAACCAGTTTGTTGTTTTATTTGTGCCTGGCAACAACGCAAACTTCATGTCGCTTCCTAATTTCGTAATGATAGATTTCTCAACATATCTTCTCGGCCCTCTCGTTTCATCTGCTACGCAGAGAAGCCCTTCTCCAGCTAGCTGACATGTTTCAGTTAAAAATATACACTCAGAAACTCGCGGGGCGAGAAATTCTGCCGTTTTCCTCAAGTCCACGCCTCAAAATTACTGTGACATTTCAAATGGTGTTACCTGCCCTAAAAAAAAACTCAATCAGGGAGAGAGCGGTGCGGGCAGCAAAATACATAATTTACTTTTGTAATAATTTTTTTCCCCCCATAATTATATTTGTTTTCAAAGATTTTATGGGCATGTAGAGTGATCATTACATGTTTTGTCGAAAATTCCAGGTACTTGCCACATCGATTTTGGTATGCGCATATGCCATTTAATGGGATCCAGTGCAAAAGCAGTTAACAAAACATCGGGCTTTATCGAGACTAGATTAATGATCACCTCCCATTGACAGGAGTAACAGTTTTAAGGACTACACAAATACGAATCACAATCATGAGGAATATGCTTCTTTTCGTGAAGCTAGTGTCGGTGTACCTAATGATGTGACTCATATTTGGATATGACATATTATGAATAAATGAGGCCAGTGGTGCTGTTTGTCGAGGTAAAGCCATGATTCCCAACTACTGTGCTGGGATCAGGTGTGCCATGGGAAATTATCCGACTTTACATACTGGGTGAATTAAATTATCTTTGCAAACGACATATGATGACAGGCAGCGGAATGGCAGAACATACATCATGTATTATCTACTTTTTTTTTTTTAATAGATCTTTTACATTGTGAGCTCAAGCCATTGAAGAGATTCGTTCGAAACATATGAACACCTAAGTAGACTAATGGCAACAACTTTCTGATATTCGTGTGATATTGTGAATGACATTGCTTTGGTCACGATGTTTTAGTGGAGGAGAAGGTTGGTGGGTGTGGGGCGCAGCAGACACTTTCAATCTGACAGGTGAGTGAGTTCTCCATAGTATCAAACACTAAACACTCCGCCGTTGCTTACTCATTTTTAACACTGATAAGAAAAACAACAACCGATACTCACTGTGCATCAACGCTTTTAAGGTGTAAACCCTTGCAATAGTTGCGTGGCCGTCTCGATGAGCGTATCTCGCTCGCTTTGCATTTTGGGCTAGCGTTCCAACGAGCTAACATGCTAAAAACAAGACGCCGCCATGGCGAACGGAACTTACCAAATGGGCAACACCAGAAAGTCCAAAGCATCCGACTTGGCGGTCATGGTGATATATTCGTTGGTGATAAGAGGCTTGTCCTCTGTGATGTTTTGCTCACCTCCGGCAATGAGACTGAAGTTTATTTGGCCGAGTAAAATGGCTGCGACTGCTCCGTGGGTGCTGATGCAGGGTGACGTCATGACGCAGCCGGACGGGAAGGGGGTGGGGACGTGGGCGTGGTCGCAAGAGCATGAGGTCGTCGGTTGTCGTGGGGCGTCGCCAACGTTTCCCTTGCGGGTCAACACTGGACGCAAGTTCAGAATATCTCACTCTCGTCTCCAAGTGATAACGGCAGTGTTTTCGTGTTACGTAATAGTGACAGCTGACTCACGTGGAAATATGAAAACCGAAGCACACTTTTCAACACGTGGCCGCCACATCCTGCCGGCGTGGATGACTCAGCGTCTGGATTTGCTGAGGCATCACTTCACTTCTACAGATCAATTAAGAGCGTGATAAGATCATGCGGCGAAGACAGACCTGGTTTTGTCTCTCATTTGCACGACTTCAATCACATCGTAGTCACTTGCATCCATCCATAAGGGCTTAACTATTCAAGGTCACAGGGAATTGAAAGTGCGACTTCAATATTGGAATGGTTACCAATCAACCACAGAGAACGTACCAAGGCACAACCTTTCAAATTTATATTCACACCATCAATTAGTCGGAATAGAACACATGCCGCCTGCAGAGGAGTCAGTCAAGTGAACCATTACACCAAGCGTGACTCATGCCCCCCCTCCCCCAAAAACAAAACCCAAACAGATGTCTGTAGTAGTACCAACAACCCAACTATGAAATTCTGAATAGTTCTAAAGAGGATCCAGACTGCTGTAAAGTACAAACAAAAAGAAAGAAGAAAAAAAAAAAGCAAGGAGCCTGGCTCAATGTTATCAATATGGCAACTACAATGTGGTTGTTAACTGTTTTCATTGTCATTTTAATGACTCGGGAGACATTTCCAACACCCAACACAACCAGTTTGTTGTTTTATTTGTGCCTGGCAACAACGCAAACTTCATGTCGCTTCCTAATTTCGTAATGATAGATTTCTCAACATATCTTCTCGGCCCTCTCGTTTCATCTGCTACGCAGAGAAGCCCTTCTCCAGCTAGCTGACATGTTTCAGTTAAAAATATACACTCAGAAACTCGCGGGGCGAGAAATTCTGCCGTTTTCCTCAAGTCCACGCCTCAAAATTACTGTGACATTTCAAATGGTGTTACCTGCCCTAAAAAAAAACTCAATCAGGGAGAGAGCGGTGCGGGCAGCAAAATACATAATTTACTTTTGTAATAATTTTTTTCCCCCCATAATTATTTGTTTTCAAAGATTTTATGGGCATGTAGAGTGATCATTTCATGTTTTGTAGCAAATTCCAGGGACTAGCCACATCGATTTTGGTATGCGCATATCCCACTTAATGGGATCCAGTGCAAAAGCAGTTAACAAAACATCGGGCTTTATCGAGACTAGATTAATGATCACCTCCCATTGACAGGAGTAACAGTTTTAAAGACTACACAAATACGAATCACAATCATGAGGAATATGCTTCTTTTCGTGAAGCTAGTGTCGGTGTACCTAATGATGTGACTCATATTTGGATATGACATATTATGAATAAATGAGGCCAGTGGTGCTGTTTGTCGAGGTAAAGCCATGATTCCCAACTACTGTGCTGGGATCAGGTGTGCCATGGGAAATTATCCGACTTTACATACTGGGTGAATTAAATTATCTTTGCAAACGACATATGATGACAGGCAGCGGAATGGCAGAACATACATCATGTATTATCTACTTTTTTTTTTTTAATAGATCTTTTAGATTGTGAGCTCAAGCCATTGAAGAGATTCGTTCGAAACATATGAACACCTAAGTAGACTAATGGTAACAACTTTCTGATATTCGTGTGATATTGTGAATGACATTGCTTTGGTCACGATGTTTTAGTGGAGGAGAAGGTTGGTGGGTGTGGGGCGCAGCAGACACTTTCAATCTGACAGGTGAGTGAGTTCTCCATAGTATCAAACACTAAACACTCCGCCGTTGCTTACTCATTTTTAACACTGATAAGAAAAACAACAACCGATACTCACTGTGCATCAACGCTTTTAAGGTGTAAACCCTTGCAATAGTTGCGTGGCCGTCTCGATGAGCGTATCTCGCTCGCTTTGCATTTTGGGCTAGCGTTCCAACGAGCTAACATGCTAAAAACAAGACGCCGCCATGGCATGACGCAGCCGGACGGGAAGGGGGTGGGGACGTGGGCGTGGTCGCAAGAGCATGAGGTCGTCGGTTGTCGTGGGGAGTCGCCAACGTTTCCCTTGCGGGTCAGCACTGGACGCAAGTTCAGAATATCTCACTCTCGTCTCCAAGTGATAACGGCAGTGTTGTCGTGTTACGTAATAGTGACAGCTGACTCACGTGGAAATATGAAAACCGAACCAGCTCATTTGCATTTACTCTGTTTGCATTAAATAAATAAATAGTTGTTTTCTTCAAGTAACACGGGCACAGTGTAAGATTATGGTCTCAGATGATAGTTCAACGATTTATATCTTTTCTGTTTTCTTCAAGTAACACGGGCACAGTGTAAGATTACAGTCTCAGATGATAGTTCAACGATTTATATCTTGTCTTGGTGTAAATCCAGAGTAAATTTTCAATAAAAAAGCAGTTTTTGCCCAAATTACTTTGCTTTTTAATATTCCGCTCAAAATTACACAATCAGTCTGTACGGCCGCGTTGTGTTTGATTGTTAACCAGTCCAGAGTCTGCCTTCCTCAAAGTCAGCTGCGATCGGCTTCAGATCTTCCGAATGAGGATAAGCCGCAAAAAGATGGATGGAAATACAAAACACACACGTATTTTGCACTCAACGGTAAATTTTGTGCAGATTATTTTACAATAAAAGATGAAACAAAGCTAATGTTAAAAAAAAAATCTATATTTATTTTTTCCCATGGTTTTGAAGAGCTTTAAAATGTATTCAACAGCTGAATACTTCGGTTTATTCAATATAATTGCACAAAAATACTTTCCATTATTTTGAAAAATCTATTTTAAAAAAAAATCTCTATTGATCTTATTTGCTTCTCTGCGCTGGAGCTTGAACATCTGCAACATTGTGCAAAAACTCATAGAGCAATTTGGCATTATGGGCATTCTCGAGTATTTCTGTGAGCTTGTCCTGGCTCAGTTTGGCGAGATCTGCCAAGCTGTCAGCATTTCTTATGAG